GGGGCGGAGCGGGGTGGGGCGGAGCGGGGTGGAGGGCGTGGGGATGCGTGGCCAGAGCGGGAAGCGGCGTGCGCTTCTATGTGCTAATGAAGCAAACGCCTCCGCCCAGGGGGCGTTTGGGCACGCGCTGGATGCTCTTCTGGTAGCCAGGCCGCGTGGGAGGAATTCCCAGGAGCACTGTGTTAATGTACTCATATGTGCAGTAATATTCGTCAATTTCCTGTATTTCCCGTGCTCTGAATTCAGGGCTAAAGAGTTCATACACGATAACTTTCGGTAATATAACGTTTTTTTATATCCCTGGGAGTTTGAAAGAGATATTTGATTTTCTACGAAACCTCAAACAAAATTGTCAAAATTTTCTCAAAAATGGTTCTAACAAATTCTGATTAAATTCTTGTCCTCAAAAAGTGTAGAAAACTAAAAATGCTGCTGATCTGGACTACATTGAAATCTCTGAAATTTCAAAAATTGCAAATATTGGAAAAAATGTGAGATAATAGTGCTGTTTTAGCTTGTAACATCACTAGTTTATAGCATAGAACACGTATCTGTTGTGCCAACAGTTGGTGGATAACTACTCCAACAATTGCCAAAACTTTCGTTCTCTGTATGTTTGCCTTAAAAAAACGACGCAGTTATTCTTTGCCAACGGCACGTAGGACAACGTCTCCAACATAACCCTAAACCATTTCATTTTTGTCTCCGACTCGGTCGTAAAGAACGTTCTGCGGCGGTGCTTCGCTATTGGTACGTGGGACAAAGACTAAATAGATAGAATGGCAAATGGATATATTTATTTAAAATTTTCTTTGATATAATTTTTAGTCTATCAAAGATTTTTAGTTTATTAAAGATTTGAAATAATGCTCGATGGCACACATTATTTCAATCTAATTTGGTAAATTGACTCTAAAGTATTCGAATGTATCTCTAAAGTTCGTCCTTTGTGTCCTGATCGTAGAAAACCTGAAACGGTGGTTTTTCGCCTAAGCGGCAACTACTCCATCATATCATCATATTCTTAAACGTTTGTCTTCTATAAAGAATACGACGTGGTAAGTCTGTTCGAACGTCCCGTTGAATAATTATTCCAACAACTTAAACGTTTCCCCTGTGTCCTTGTCATAGTGAGTGCGACCTTTTGGTACTTCGCCAATATCACGAGCGAATACTAGTCGAACATTTTCTTAAACATTCGTTCTCTAGTGGCTTTTTCGCCGAAATGCGACGAAATAGTGCTTCCCCAACGACACGTGAAACAACTTTCACACCTTACGACATCTTTCTAAATGTTCGTTGGTTGGTTGGTTAGTTAGTTGTATGTTTGACTCCAAAACTCGACGCAGTTATTCTTTGTTTGTTTGTTTGTTTGTTAGTGATTCGAGGCTCGTCAACTACCGAGTTCATTAGTTCCATAAGTGTCACGCATGTTCTTTCCTCGGAAGGTGCCCTACCGTCGGCAAGTAGGGAATTGACCATATATCTCCCAATTATGGGGCACCGCCCCAGCTGGGAAAAGCTTTAATCTTCTGACATGTGTGGTAATGTAGTGCTTGTTAGTGTACATGTGTGTGTAAGGGTTGAGATTAGGACAAAGGAGAAGGAGGAGAGATCGCGCGCGGTCCGTGGCCCGTTTGGTAGAGTATTGCACCGACATTCGCCTGGTGTTGATCTGAGAAACCACGAAAAACTAGCAATCGAGCAATCAGCCTCTAGAATTTCTGTCAGCGACTGAATTCGATCGGGCTGAAAAGCTACTGTCGAAAATCTTGCCACCATCCAGACTCGAAACTACGACCTCCCGGCCAGAGGCACTGCAGTGACATCAGTTCATACATTTTTTCTCTGTCATGGAGAACGCGACGCCGTGCTTCGCCATCGGCACAAAGGACCACTCTAGTATCACCTTTACCTCTTTACCTTTTTGTCTACTATTTTCTTGAAGTAGAGAACAAGACGCCTTAATGCTTCGGCAACTACACGTGGGACTACTCCATCTCAAACATTCACTATCTGTCTCAGTCAAAGAACGTGACGCGGTGGTGCTTCACCAATAGGACAACTTTTTCCAACATTTCAATATACGTTCGTCCAGTATATCATCGACAACGGGACGCAGAGATATGCTTCGCCATCGATCAATAAATAATCGCCCTCTGTCTCTGTTGTAGAGAATGCGACGCCAACAGCACGTGGAACAACTACTTCGCAATAAACGATATTCCTCTGTCTGTGTTGTAGAAAACGTGACGCGGTGGTTCTTCGCCAACTTCGCAATAAACGACATTCCTCTGTCTGTGTCGTAGAGAACGTGAAGCGTTAGTATTTCGCCAAAGACACGTGAGACCAGTACTCCAACATCTCAATAAAATATCGTCCTCTGTCTGTGTCTTAGAGAACGCGACGCGGTGGTGCTTCGCCAATGGCACGTGGAACAACTACTCCAACTTCGCAATAAACGATATTCCTGTGTCTGTGTCGTAGAGAACGCGACGCGGTGGT